AGATTATTTTTAGATATTTTATATCTTTGGGGATTATCATGGATGGAACTGTTTTGATGATTTCTTTCTCAGCAAATTCATTATTAATGTGTAGAAAAGTCACTGATTTTTGTCCATTGATTTTATGTCCTGATTTTGTCCTGAATTCATTTATCAGTTCTAAAAGTTTTCAAATGGAGACTTTAGGTTTTTCCATATATAGAATCATATCATTTGTAAATAGGGATAATTTGATTTCCTCCTTTCCTACTTGTATGCTTTTTTTCTTACCTAATTGCTCCAGTTAAAATTTCTTACACCATATTGAATAAGAATAGTGAGAGTGGACACCCTTTTCTTGTCTCCAATCTTAGAGGAAATGTTTTCAGTATTTCCCCAATCAGTACAATGCTGACTATGGGTTTGAGGTATGATCCTTTTAGCTTGATTTGGAGCTTTTAACATGAAGGGATGCTGAATTTTTACCAAATTTCTGTTCTGCATCTATTGAGCTAATCATGTGATGTTCATTCTTTTTGTGAGATGTATTATATTTATTGATTTGTTTATGTTGAACTGTTCTTATATTTCCTGAAATAAAACCAATTGGATCATGGTGTCTGATCTTTTTGATGTGCTGCTGAATTTGATTTGCAAATGTTTTGTTGGGTATTTTTGCATCTGTATTCACCAGGGATACTGGCCTACAGCTTCCTTTTCTGTTGTGCCCTTATCAAGTTTTGATAATGGGGTAATGCAGGTCTAATAAAATGAGTTTGGAAGGGTTTCCTCTCTTTCAAGTCTATGAAAAAATTTGAGATGAAATGAATTGGTGTGAGTTCTTTAAAATTCATCGGTGAAGCCTGGGCTTTTCTTTATTAACGTGGTTTTTTTGTTACTGATTCAATGACATTTCTTGTTCTTGGTTTAATCAGGTTTTTTACATCCTCTTGGTCTAATTTTGTAGGTCATATGTGTCAAGAAGTTTGATCATTTCTTCTAGATTTTCTAGTTTGTTAGTATTATTTTCAAAATAATCCCTAACAATCCTTTGAGTTTCTACAATATACATTGTAATGTTTCCTTCTTCATCTCCAATTTTATTTATCTGGGTCTATTTAATTTATTTCTGCTCTAATCTTTATTATTTCCTTACTTTTACTAATTTTGGATATTGTTCTTTCTTGTTTTCCAAGACCTTGAGAGACATCATTAGGTTATTTATTTTAAATCTAGTTTTTAAATGTATGCTATAAACTTTGCTCTTAATGCTGCTTTGCTGTATCCCACAGGTTTTGGTATGTTTTGTTCCCATTTTCACTTGTTTTAAGGAATTTATAAACTTCTTTCTGACTTCCTCTATGATCCACTGTTTGTTCAAAAGTGTGTTGATCAGTCTCCATCTATTTGTGTAATTAATGTAGCTTTTCTGTTTATTTCTAGTTGCCTTCCCATGTGATCAGAAAAGATACAGGATATAATTTCAATTTTTTAAAATTTGTTAAGACTTGTTTTATGGACTTATATATGGTCTATTTTAGAAAAAGCTTCATGTCTTGATAAAAAGAATGTTGAGTTTATTTCCAGCTGGGCTTGATAGTCAGAGTGGGAGAGAGACCACTGTCTCTGCAGATCATGCAAGAGTGGGGACACTGTAGCATTTAGGCAGGTGTGGTGTAGGTAGCAGAGGGTGGAATATGCAGCCTGTGTGTTACCTCCACTATGGGAATGGTGGTTCCTATCAGGTGATAAGAGTTTCCTTAGGCACTAACATTGGTTGTTACTTGAATGGGTCTCTGATATTGGCTGCTCCAGCAATGGTGAGGACTCCAAAGCATTTGTCATCTAATTAGACACAGGTCCAGGTCCAGGTATGGGTGCTTCATGGACAAAGACAAGGGTAGGAATCATAGCACCCCACTTCGTGGCCCTCATACCCACTCTCATCAGCAGTGCATGATCAGAAAAGGTATGGGGACCACCAGTACAGGGAACCCCACCTATATGCAGATGCAGGAATAATTGTTAATTCCCTTGCTAGTACCATAGACATGTCCACCCAGAAGCAAGACCTCACCCCTCACCCCCCCACACACCCAGGTATGCATGCCTGTGGGCAGGGACTTTTCCCCCACCCCCATTCTTCAGTTGTAGTGACCACGGGAATGGGTTGCATCTACAGCTGGGTAAAATTACTCTTGACTGAGGTATTGGCAGGAGGGAAATGAAACACAGTCATCACTAGACAAAGTTTCTCCCAGACCTTCTGAGGCTATGTGCCTCAGGTGGGCTGCAGCCAGGGCTATAGTAATGATGTTCATGTCTGCTCCACTACACCCTGTAGGCACCTCTCCCAAACACAGTTCTGGGAGAAGGATTGAGAACAGGTAACCATCCTCAGTCCTGGCACCATGGGAAACCACACACAACTGGCCACACACTCAGTCTCAGAGGGCAGGTTTCCTGAACCCTCAGTTCTAGAGAGAGCATACCCTCCACTCCCATCCTGTAGTGTGTAGCATTCTTTATGGTTTATATCAGTCACACCACTGAGGCTCAGGAGGCAGACACCTGTCAAGCCAAAGCAGGGGATTATGCCTGGGGTCCTGGAGAGAGGAATAATGGGGGCTTCTGACCACTAAAGCAGTCTAAATTCAGACAGTAGGTCCCCTCTTTATAATGGCTCTGGGCCACAACACTGGGATTTACTAGGAGATGAAGTGAATTCCTTTGACAAAGCCAGACACAATAGTGCAGATTTCAGGCCTCTTGTCTACTTAGGCTGTAAGCCTGTAAGGAATGCAAAACTTTCCAACAGCTAGGATTGCCAGTGTCTGTACTGATCCACTTTGCTGAGACTATCTTTAACCTTTCCCCTGCAGAGAAGAGAATTCCCCTCTCCCTCCCAGCTGTAGAGCCTGGGGGCTAGAGATGGACATTTTGTTTCTCTTGTTCTAATGCTGTCCCAGGTCTCTGTATTTCACAAGTCTTCTGTTTGTCTAGTGTAGAATTCCAGTGTTCTCCCACAGTGGCTCACCTCCGTGTTCCTACACACCTGTTACTTTGGTTCTTTGTGGAGAAGCAGTTGCCTCTATGTGGCCATCTTGCCTCTCAGCTTTATTCCTTAACAGATATCTTCCTGTCTGTCCACTTATTTCTTGTAAAGCATCTCTTTGTGTTAAAAGTTAAGTGAAGGAAAACTGGCTAATTCAATGTTCCAGGTAACTGTTTCAGGATCATCTAAGTTATATTGTTTCTGTGAAGTGTTTCTCTCAAATTGTAGTTTGGGACCTATGTTAGCAGCTCAGAATGTAATGCAATGTGCCAGGGCTACTTCTGGGTTACAGAAATGCTGTGTGTAGCTCAGTTTCCTGGAGACTTGGAGCAATCGGGACTTGCAAGAAGGAGCTAATGTTAGATCTGTCTGAGCAGAATTCTGTGTCTGCCTTCCTGCTATGCCTTCTGGGTCTATAACAAGTTCAACCAAATGCACCTCTTGTCAGGACATGGTTCGTTGTTGTGGGACTTGCAGGAATAAAATGTGACAGTGTTCTTTCCCCCGAACGCGCCCCTCAGGGAGTTCTCCCTCTCACCAAAGAGTCAAAAAGAAAAAAAAAAAAAAAACTTGAAACAAGACAGTACCAATCAGAATGATAAGAGATTTTGAGATTAGAGGAGGAAATCATGACTATAGTAGTCAAGGCTCCATGGAGGAAAGTGGTCTTGAGATACCCTTGAGAAACCACTGGGGTTGGGATTGTTAGAGAGAAGGGCAAAGGGTTCTGCAGCTCAAAATGACTATAGAACGTTGTGAGAAATTATTTTGAACCAAGTAGTAAATGATATGGCCATAGGATTCCTACAGAAAAGCAAGGGGAAGAGAAATGCAAAAACTTGGAATGCTTAGAAGAGGCCAGTATCTGGGAAATAAGGGGTCAAGGAAGATTCTCACACATCATACCACAATGGCCAAGGAGAACCTTAGGGGTGACGGGAAACATTTTTGGAAAGGGTTTTCAATCATAGCTACCCATTAGAATCACCTTACAAAATTTGAAATAGACCCATAAAGCTTCCTTCCCACACCAATTAAACTAGAATTTAGGGGTAGGAGGCTGCAGGCAGAGAAATACATCTCTTGTTGCTAATGTATCCCAGGTCAATATAATGAGCAGACACAGGTGAGAACCATGGGACAACAACAGATCAGACAAATATTACAATAACCTAGGAAATGCAGGAATGGGATATTGAGGCACTAGAAACAAAAGAGTGATATTCAGGAGAATTTGCAATAGCAAGAGTCTGGAAAAAGTAAGATTTAGCGACTGGTGATATAAAGGATATAAAAGAATTCCAAAAAATGTCCCCAGGTTGGGTTCTGAGTATTTTAGAAAGTGGCAGAACCATTGGCAGTCGGGAGGGAGGAAGAAGGAAAATTCAAAAGTGATGCTTTTAAATAACTTAGTGTTCTTTAAGAACTACTAGCTTCTTTGGGTATCAATTTTCTCAACTATATGATGCCTTAGTTCTTTTCAAATGCTAAAATTGAGATTACTATGAGTGATCTAATTTAGGAATATGAGAAAACATGGTATTTTCAGATGTCTATGGACATTCAAATGTAGTTCACTACAAGCAACTGCATCAATCTCCTATGTAAGCAGCAGGTGAAACAAAAGGTGAATGGGGTCCCCAGGCGAGAGGACGGCTGGAAAAGGAGAGAAAGAATAGGAGTTACCTAGTTGCCTATTCCATGTTCTGTGTCACCTCCCTAATACCTGGGACAGGTCAGCAGTAATTTAGAAGGTACTTCCCATCATGCCTCAACTTTAATGTGTAGACCCAATCATTTTACTAGGACCACTTGGAGTTGCTTTCATACACTAAGTTTTTCTACTCATTCCTGAAAATCGATTTTAATGCATTTTAAGTGATATATCAAAACATAAAAGTGTACATATTAATGGGATATTATATAATATTTTAATATGTATATTATATAATGTTCATATCTGGTTACACATATCTCAAACATTTATCATTTTATCATGAAAACTTTGAAAATCTTTCTAGCATTTTGCCAGAAGTACAGTACAGTATGTTATTAGTATCTATAGTTAACCTGTGGTTCAGTTGCACACCAGAACTTCCTGCCCCTATCTAACTGTATTCATTGATCCACCTTGCCCCATTCTTTGCCCCACCCCCAGCCTCTACCACCATTCTACTCTCAGCTTTTATAAGATCAATAGTTTTTAGGTTTCATGTGAGTGAGATCATGTGATACTCTTTCTGTGCCTGGCTTATTTCACATAACATAATGACCTCCAGTTTCATCCATCTTGGCACAAGTGACAGGATTTCATATGTATCACCTTTACTTCATCACTCATCAGGTGAAAGGCCTTTAGGTTGTTCCTGTTTCTTGGCTACTATGAATAGTGCTGGAGTGAACATAGGAGTGCAGATGTCTCTGAAATTCTGATTTCATTTCTTTGGATGTGCATCCAGTAGTGGGAGTGCTGAATCATATGGTAGTTCTATTTTTAATTTTTTTGAGGAACCTCTATACTGTTTTCCTTTACGGCTGTACTAATTTACATCCCCACCAAGGGTGTGCAAGGGTTCTCATTCACTACATCCTCTCTAGCGCTTGTTATCTTTAGGCTTTTTGATAATATCCATTTTTACTAGGGTGAGGTGACACCTCATTATGATTGTGATTTGCATTCCTCTGATGATGAGGATGTTGAGCCTGTTTTCTTATATCATTGCCCATTTGTATGTCTTCTCTTGACAAATGTCTATTTAGATCTGTTATCCATTTTTTAATCAGGTCATTTGTGAGTTGGGGGGTTGTTTTGTTTTGCTTTATATTGTTGTTTTGCTTTATTCCTAGAGTTCCTTATATATTTTGGATATAAGCCCCTTGTCACATGTATTGTTTGCAAATATTTTCTCCCATTCTTCACTCTGTTGACTGTTATCCTATGCTGTGCAGAAGCTTTGAGTTCAATGTAATCTCAATTGTCTGTTTTTCATTTCCTGTGTTTTAAAGTTTTGTCCCAAAACATCCTTGCCCATCTCAATGTCCTGAAGCATTTCCCTGTTTTCTTATAGTAGTTTCATAGTCTGAGGTCTTATATTTAAATTCATTATTAGTTGATGTTTGTAATAGGTAAGAGATAGGCATTGAGTTTCATTCTTCTACCTGTAATATCTAATTTTCCCAGCACTGTTTATTAAAAGACAGTCCTTTTTCAGAGCATCTTTGTTGAAAATTAGTTAGTTGTAGATATGTGGCTTACTTCTAGGCTCTCTGTTGTTCTATTTGTCTGTGTGTTTGTTTTTATTACAATACTCTGCTGCTTTTACTACAGCTTTGTAGTATGTTTTTAAATTAGTAATTCTAATACCTCTCTTTCTGGGTTCTTTTTGCTCAAGATGGTTTTGACTATTTGAGGTTTTTTGTGGTTCCTACAAATTTTAGAATTATTTTTTTCTAGTTCTGTGAGGAATGTCATGGTATTCTGATAGAGATTGCATTGAATCTGTAGATCACTTTGGTTAGGATGGACATTTTAACAATATTGATTCTTCTAACCCAAGAACACAGGATATCTTTCCACTTTTTTGTGTCCTCTTCTAATTTCTTTCATCGATGTTTTATAATTTTCATTGTAGAGATCTTTCACCTTTTTTGTTAAATTTATTCTTAAGTATATTTTTTTGTAGTCCTTGTAAATGTGATTGCCTTCTTGAGCTCTTTTTTAGATAATTTGCTTTATATTGATTTTGTATCCTGCCACTTTGCTGAATTTATTACTTCTAAAGGTTTCTGTTGGCACCTTGGGGGATTTTCTATATAATATCGTGTCATCTGCAAACAGTAATAATTTGACTTCTTTTCCAAACAGGATGCACTTTATTTCTCCTCTTGCCTGATTGCTCTGGCTGGTACTTCCAGTTTTACACCTTCTCATGTTTTCTCCTTAGTCATTAATGTCATTTTCTTTCAGTTTGAAAAACAGATCTGGTGGTGATAGATTCCCTTGGCTTTTGTTTGTCTGGCCATGTTTTTATCTCTTCTTCATTTCTGAAGGATAACCTTGTTGAGTACAATATTCTCAGTTGACAGTTTTTTTCCTACAGTAATATGAAAATATCATATTATTCTCCCCTAGCCTGTAAGGTTTCTGCTGAGAAGTAAGCTGTCAGGTGAATTGGGACAATCCTATGTTATTCTTTTTTCCTTGTCTTGATAGTCTTTTTCTTTGACCTTTGAAAGCTTGATTTTAAGATGTCTTGGGGTATACTTGTTGCGTTCAATTTAGTGATCTTAGACCTTCCTGTATCCAGATAATTTGTATCCTTCTTTAGATTTGATTTCTTTGAATAAGCTTTCTACCCATTTGGCATTTTCAAGCCCCTCTAAACCCCAGTAACCTGAATTTGCTCTTAGAATGCTATACCTAAGTTTCTGTACACTTTTATTCTTATTTCCCCTCTGGATTGCTGGTCTTTAAGTGCACTAATTCTTTTTTTCTGTTTGATCTGTCCTGCCACTGATCTATCACATTTTAAATTTTGCTAAGTATTCTTTTCAGCTCAAGAATTTGATTTTTTAATTGCTTCCATCTCTTTAATTTTCTCTGTTACATCATTAAAATGTTTGTCTGTATTTTCTGCAAGCTCATTGAGTAATCTCAAATTATCTGAGATTTTTTTCTTTTCCATTCTTACTACTACTTGTTCTGGCACCTTATTAGATCATGGTTTTGTGAAATCCCTTGATGCTTATTGGCATATGACATCATTTGTGTTTTGAAGGATTCTGAATTTATTCCAGTCTTTCTGATCTGGCTTTGTTCCTAAGTTATCTTTCCAGAACTTCTAATCAGGCTGTTTAGTCCATAGTCATTTACTCTATTTCATCACTGGATGATACCCAGGTCCAGATTTGACTCCAGTCAGCTATTGGTTTGTTGTCACTATTTTAGAATTAGAGGGAAATTCAAGGCCTAATTTGTCACAAATACACTATTCGTGTCCTGTTTAGAAAGAACCAGGACAATACCCAGAAGAGTAGTCTGTCCCCTTAAGCCTGGGACTTATAGGCCTAGATTCCTCCTCCACAGGTAACAGTCAGACACTGCGAGACCCTGCTCAACTCTAGGCAGAGTCACCATGAATGACCATCCTAGACTGTGTCAAGCCTATGGCCACCAACGCTATCAAGCCATCAAATCTTTATCCCACCAAGACCAGCCCAGAACTGGGGCAGGATCAAGGGTTGGTATAGGTTGCCTAGTGCTGAAACAGACTCATGACTCAAGATTGCTGCAGACAGCCACGGGTGATGCTGGCTGGAATGGAAGTCCCACAGACTGCTGCCCCATGGCCTCCCCGTGGCACTGTGCAGAACCTTCAGTTTCTGCTGGATGCTAGGTTTCACTTACATAGCACTGGGCTCTAAGGCAACATCCTCTGCTAGCTTTCACGCCCTGCTCCCCAGCAGATTGAGTCTGCTCTGCACCTGAGGTGGGAGGGATACTGGAGGCAGTCAGTTGCCCGTCTAGTGTAGTTCCAGAGGCTGAGCCCTTGGGTATTGGCCTTGCAGTCGTCGGACATGGCCCAGCACTGGATTTCACTGTGGCTGGCCTGGTACCAGGTTTCAAGTCAAAGGCCTGAACTTAATTCTCCCCACTGGCAAGCAGGGGGCACCTCTCTCCACATTGAGCTGGTTGGGGTTGGGGTGATATAGGCAACTCTTACCTTTCTGCCTTCTTCAGTGTGTATTTTTGTTTTGTTATGCTAAAAGCAGGCACTCTGGTCTCTCACCGGATTTCCTTAGCTCTTGTGGAAGTCATTTGGTGCATGAATAGCTCTTCAACTTGGCATGTCTGTGGGAAACCAATCACCAAGCATCTTACTCTCAGCCTCCTACACTAGGTTTTTCTGGTGAAAAATCTTCCCAAGTTAACATAATACCTTCCGAACTTGATCTGGGTTTGTCATATACTATGTTTCTCACTAGCATAGAGAAAGCAAATGGAAAGAATTATTCATGTCTCTTTTGATATTCAAAATGTTCTTTTCTCATATAAAATGCCAGGAGGGAAAACAATTATAAAAGTAAGGAAAATCCATGTGTTCAGTTGACTTTTCCTATTGTAGCCATCAATAGCTTATTAAATGATCCATACCTTTAGCCTGTTTTCAAAGTGAAAACAGGCCAAAAAAAGAAAAAAGAAAAGACTTCAAAGTGAAAAGTTGATTGCCTCTCAGTGGTCAAATACAGTGAAACAATGTGCTAGTGTTTCTGCATACAACGCCCCAGGGCAACTAAAAGTTCTAGCTAGAAAACCCCCTTGTGTTGTGATTGTTCAAAAATACAAAGACACAGATGGCTAAGAAGCATAAGAAAAGATGTTCAGCAACATTAATCATTAGGAAAATAATTAAAACCACAATGTAGATGACCACCATCAAAGCAAAACAAAAAAAGTAACAAGTAACTCCTGTAACAATTATAAACCTATAAACCGTACCCTATAGAAACAATAACAAGGGTCCTCAAAAATTTTCAAGTAGAGTTACCATGCAATATTGCAATCCTACTTCTGGGCTTATATCCAAAATACTTGAAAATAGGATCTCAAAGGCCATGGCTGCATACATGCATTCGCTGCAATTTTATTCACAGTAGCCAAGGGAACAACCTCAATGTCCATCAGTGGATAAACAGTTTAAGAAAATGTGGCACATTCCCACCACCAAACATTATCTAGCCATAAGGAAATCCTGTCCTGCACTACAGCCTTGTGGAACCTTGAAGACATTGTGCCAAATGAAAAGAGCTAATTACAAAAAGACAAATCTTGCATGATTTCACTTCCATGAGGCATCTAAGGTCATCACACTCTTAGAAAGTATAATGTGGTTGCCAGGAGGTAGGGGTGAGGAGAAAGAGGAGTTGTTCAATGGATTAGCATTTCCATTTTGCAAGATGAAAAAGTCATAGAGATCTGCTGCACAGAACACCGCTGTACCACATGCTTACAAAGGGGTAAGATGGCCAAATTTGTCACATGCCTTTTATCCCACACACAAAAGCACTGCTACAGTGGCTCTGAGATGTTAGCAGAGGTTAATGCACAGATGATTTCCTACCTTGCAAGCATTATTTTGAAAATTGTGCTGATGTTTGGCAGCCCCTGGGACAACTGGATGAGAGGTGATGTTCTTAAAGGAGCCATCGGTAGGAGAACGGTAGATGATGTAGGATGGGGGTCATTATCACTTTACTCTGGTTCCCAGGTTTTGTTGAGCTTCTATTTCTACTGTTGTTTTGGTTCTTTGTTGTGATTGATTTTAGAATGAGGACTCTGCAGAAGCAGCAAGGAAGTAGGACCACCTGTGTAGAGAAGGGGTCGCTGAATCTGAGGTTCCAATGGTTTGCTTGTCCTTGTTCCTTAATACACACCTCTTCTCACAAAGACTTCTTTGAGGCAGCAGCTCAGGTTCAGTGGGAAGAGGAGTATCAATTGTGCTGCCAGGGCTCTAAGTAGGAGCCTGCAAAATAGACAAATGCTAACAGAACACAATCCTGATTCCCACTGAGAAGCTCATAGACAAGGGAAAAGTGTTCCCATCTGTCTTCATTGGGAGCCTGGGTGGCTACCTGGAAGCCTTCACCGCAGGGGTGGGAATGTGAATGTAAACACATCACCAGGTTATTAAGTAGTGCAAAGTGTGCCGTAGAGATGAAGGCATTCTGACTGCTGATCTGTCCTGTGAAGGGGCTTAAAAAAATAATTGTGGCATCAGAACACAGTACATACACAACCCCAAATGAAGGAGAACTCCAATTCAATTAGGTGAGTGGGGTAGGAGGGTTTTGAAAGAAAGAATTCCCACCTCTCCAGTCTTCAGCCTGCTGGTGTAAAAATGAAATCCCTTTATCTGCAGCATCTGTTGCTTACAGCTACACTAAACTGCTCCACTTTTTTATATGACACATAAAGTCATTTCATTCTAAGAACTTCCGTATGTAACTGGTAGCGCTGTTTTCCTCCACTTACGAAAAGCAGGTAAAAAATAAACTCAGTTCCTCAAAGAAAGTGGGGCTGGCTGCAGCTGATTCTGAGGCTGATCTCATGGGAGTGTGAGCATGCTTGAAAAAAATCAAAAAGCTGGAACTAAGCCTTCAGTGCCTCCCAGCAAGCTACGAGTCCAGTTTGGACTGCAGAACAGAGTGTGGCACAAACCCCTTGATTGTCCGCACCTCTCTAGCCCAGCAAAGGGTAAACAGTTTTCAGCTGAAGTGTGTTCTCAGCCTTTCATCATCTTTCTCCCCCATTTGGTCTTTTCTCAATCCACCCACCTCAGAAAATAGGCACTTTGAAATAAGGAAAGAGCCACAAACTTCTGCCAGAGACTTCAGAGGAGAAAATACAAGAATGCATTTCTATTTTCTTGAATTCCTGGTTGATAGACTACTCTGGTGAGAAAAAGAGTTTACAGACCTTGGCCTCACTTTTTGACCTACGAATATACACATATTCTGGTGGAAGAAACATAGTGGTCTGTCCTCACCTGCTTGGAGACTGTCAGACTAGAGCCAGAAGCAAGGCAGAGAAGGCCCCTGCACACCCCCAGTTGCCTGCACCCTCCCATGGAGGATGCCATGGTCCTGGGGCCCCTTCTGTTCAGAGTCTCTCTATCCACTGCTCTGATGGAGCTACTTGAAAACCAAACATTTTGGTTCTTTCTCTCCTCTCTCCCCTTTCTCCTCTTTCTCCATTAAAAAGAAAAGAAAAGCTAATATTCTGAAACTCCCAGGAGAGAAATTTTTAAAACATTTTTTACATATAAATTTTGAAAATGTCCCTTCTGTCATTCTGCAGTTGTATTAGTTCTCAAATGATATCATAACAGGCTTTTAAAATAACTTTTAAAATGCTAAACATTAACCACAGAATGTCTCAAAAGTAGAAATAATCAAGAGGAACTTCTCTCTTTCTACCATGTAAACATTTGTTTTGAAACCCGTTTCTTTCTCTCTTTTTTTTTTATTGGTTGTTCACAACATTACAAAGCTCTTGACATATCATATTTCATACATTAGATTGAGGTGGGTTATGAACTCCCAATTTTACCCCAAATGCAGATTGCAGAATCATGTCGGTTACACATCCACAATTTTACATAATGCCCTATTAGTAATTGTTGTTTTCTGCTACCTTTCCTTTCCCCTTCTTTCCCCCCTCCCCTCCCCTCCCATCTTCTCTCTCTACCCCATCTACTGTAATTCATTACTCTCCTTGTTTATTTTCCCATGCTTAGACTCATCTTCCATGATATTATACAGCCTTCTACATGTCAGTTTTAATGGCAACTTCACATTATGTTGAATGTATTTATCATGTAGCCAATCTTCTATCAAACTATTTTTAATTTTTCTAATGTCACTATATAAAAATTCAACCAAATAAATATGCTCTTGTGGCTATATATCTTCCCACCTGTTTTTTATCCATTCCTTAATAACTGTGGAAGGCAAAACAGGTTAGAGAGCAGGCACGTTCTCACAGGATGGGTGAGGTCAGGGAGTCAATCAAGTCCTGGTTGTTATGTGGGAGTTACTCTTGAGCGATGGAGTAAATTCTTTATTAAAGTATCTTTTCTAATAGCCAAGCCTTTGGGAGCTCTGGCAGAGGCTTTGTGCTCCAATAAAAAGTGCCGAGAATTGAGAGTAAGCACAGGGCCAAAATGTCAGGCTTCTCCACACACCTAGCACAGTAGCTAAGGCATGGCCTCCCTTCTGGGAGGCTCCTGAGCTTCACTTACAGCATGTGAGATGGACATCCAACAGGTTCACCCTCCGGCACTGACCCAAGAGGGCTGTCTTCAAAGCTGGGAAAGACAAAGGGGAGCAACCACTGTGTCATATTTATGTATATATACAGTTTACTTTATTTTTATTGTCCCTGCCATTTTCTTGAGTTTGTTTTTAAACAGCACTAACAATATTTCTCAGACAGAGGGCTATGTACAATCTCCTAACACACTTCTTTGACAGTTTAAAAAAAAATCATGGGCCTTCTCCAGTAGCTCAGAACTTGCCTGCATCTGTGTGTTTTATTTCTTTGGGGAAGGGCAATTAGTCAAAAGGAAACCCAAGCCCATGACACTTCTGACATTACTATGGCTTTCTTCTGAAGTGTTATGGGCCATAAGAGCTTTCCAGACATTTCTCTGAGAATAAATGCCAGGCAGCCTTCATTTGCCAATAGCAGAACTGACCTATGGCACACTCAACAGTGACTTATCTGCAGAATCAAAGCAGGCTGATGTTCAGGTGCGAATTCACCTTTGCCAGGAGACTGCTGGCTTCTGGTTCAGAGAAATTGCTGGGAAAAGCAGAGTTTTGTGGTCTCTTCCTGTTAACTTGATGTGAAAGTGCTCCAATTTGGGAATGCAGAAAAGCCCATGTTAACTAAGCTATCACCCTAGTAACGGTGCCTGAGCCTGTAAACCTGTACTGTTGCATTAAGGCCTTATTTTCAGGCAGAGTGAGAACTGGATGAGGCAGGTCTCTGAGAATCCTTTAAATCAGATTAAAACAGATCAGACCCATGGGAGGATGATCTCCTCCTCGAAGCTAAGAAATAACACAATACGAATTTCTGACCACCCTAACCTATAAATCTGATGAAGAACCAACTGCCTCCTTCTAATCATTCAACAATATTCCTGGCTGCACTGCATTTGCCTTTGGGAATCTTCCACTGTTGTGTGGTTGCTATCTAGAGAAGACATCCCCCAGCAGACATCCCCCAGCTGTGTCTTGTCTCTCCAAAGCACCTTAACTGAGCTGAAGGTATGCATTCATATTAACTTGCACTTAAACAGCCATCCTCTCTTTTTAGTAATATTGACTTAATTTGAAGATCCTATGGTGTGGACAAAATGAGTCACATTGATGACCAGTAACATTGGTCTAAAACCATCAGGCAATTTAAGTGAGAGCCCTAAGGTTCCGAGCCCTAAGGTTTATAGCTAAGGGTAATAACTATTTGAGGGCAAAAATTGAAGATGAAAATGTGTTATACGAACACAGCTGTAGCACTTAATAAATATGTAATAGCTAGCAAAGTGAGTTGAGGAAATTTTCTTTAGCGGGGGAAAAATAGAGGATTTGGACATCTTCTACCTGATGAATCTCCTCTGTTTTGAAAGATTTATGGACCTTTTACATAAGTATCATACAGCTTTCATTATCAGTCCCAATGTAGTAAATGGTATTTGAAAAGAGAAATAGTGACATACTTCACAGGCCAAGGGACCATAAGATCATAGAGTGAGCATTGTCATTGCCAAGAGCACAAATGTGTGGAAAATTACAGATATAAATTCTAAAGTACATCAGTGTTCAATGAGACCCTGAATACTTGGAGTTCTCATCTTCCCCTTCTGAACTAAATAGGAAAACATTGAGACCTCCTTGTAATATCTTAAAAGAAGCATTGCATTGATGTTTCTGCTCTGCCAGGTGTATTGTTAGAGGACATCATCTGGCAGACTGGCAAGTCTTATGCTTGGATATGATGGGTTTTGTTTATTAAGTTCAAATAGATCCTCCCCCCACCTACATCCACTCCCGGGGATAGAGAAAGGTTAAAAGTTGTCATGTGCTCTACCATAGCCTCTAAAACATCATGGAATTGCAATTCTGTCTGTGACTGTTTGTTATAGGCAGAGCAGATTACAGGAGGAAATACAGAGCCCTTGGCCATGATTTATGATAGAAGAACAGCTCAGAGAGGAATGTGGTCAAGATGAGCAGCTGAGAGGTGCAGCTGAAGTCAGCCCAGGCATGAGCACTAAGTGAAATATCCAGAAGGAAAAAAAAAATCTTCATTCATGGGCCTCAGCCCTCCATATCCTGAGCCAAGGAAGAATTAAGCTCCTCTCACCCCTCATCTGTGCACTTGTTTTCAATTTGCAAGGACCATTTCCAGAGGAAGCACTTTATTGATCACACTAGTAATGGCAGTGGTAATTATGAGACTCCTTCTCTTTCTATCATGTCCTGTCCTTTAAATAAAGGCAGCACAAAAGTCTGAAGGTGAGAGGAAAGAATACATTTAAATTAAATTTGAAGTCTTTTTTTTTTAATTTCCCAGCTTTCCTTATGAATATAAGGAGTATTGGAGACTCCCCCAGAATGCCTTAGAGCCAAGAACAGAAATCAATACAACTATTTATGTTTCTGTTTCATCCACAATTGAATGGACACCTTGGGACAAACCACTCACCGCACTCAAAAACAATAGGAAGTAAAAACCCAGTTTACATAAATATGAGGTTAGAAAGGATAAATATTATAAGAAGAAAAAACTAGAGGAAATTAAGTTTTTAATAGTCTTTTTTTCCCTTCTGGGTGGTGAAAAATACTAGAAGATAATACACTTTTATATATTACCCAAATTATTAATATAATAATATATTAATATATATTATTTTATATATTATAAATATACTAATACAAGTCTCTAATAAATCACTTTAGTAAAAAATATTTTTAATGAAAACTGAGAATAAGGAAGAAGGTAAGAGAGTGACTCCAGCTGACAAGTCTCATCCTGATCATCATAGTAGAGTCGGGCATGTATGAAAATACTGAGTATGTGCACAGGGACTTTACCCCCAACCTAATATGCCCTGCCTACAGAAGATACTCAGTGAGGACCTTATAATATCCCTTTGGTGACCTGCTTCATTGCACCTGGGTGAAGCTCTCTTTTGAAGCAATTCTTTTCTCTAGTCAACAACATTTGGGTACAAGGCACGCACCTTGGCAGAGTGAAAAGAAAGACGAGCAAGCCACAGCTGTTATCTAGTAAACAAGACCAAGCCGATCCTATCGATAAGTAGATATTGGCAACTTGTGCTCAGAAGGCATGTGCAAATTTGGTCTCAGTGCAAGCTTACCAAGAAAGATTTCAGGAATGTCGAGGATTGGAGCTATGAACAACAGACAGAGTTTCAGGAGGCAGAGAGGGATGCAGCAATCCAGTCAAGTGAAGGTTTGGGGGTTAAGGCAAGAGAAGTAATTTGACTTGAAGGTGAGATGTCTGCCAGAGAAACAGTGGGAGGGGTTCAGTCGGGCCTGGGCCATATCATCAAGGCAGAGGTTGGGGGCAATCAGAACAGCCAGATGAGAGAGGAGCATCTGGGCATGGAGGTAGCAATGACGACCATCTCAACCACTGCATGTCTGCAAGGGGGCAGAAACAAGGGCTTCCACTGGGTGAGAGTGGAAAGGCAGGCAGAGACACAAGGCACTGCCAGTTACCTGATTCAGGGGAAATGGAGGGAACAACCTTCAGGGTTAGTCCCTGAGTGACTAGAGGAGGAAAGAGATGAAGGAGTCAAGATGGCAGCAGGCATGAGGCAAATGACAAGGTCATCACCAGAAAATCCAAGAAGATGCAGCAGCCCTCAGAAGGCAACATGCTGCTCTGCAGAATATAGACTGGTGCAATTCCAGACTAGCTGACCGGGATACAGTCCTGTTCATTTTCTCCTCCCTGGGCAGTTCCATGCCTGAGCTTCCCCAGACAGTGGAGCTGGGAAAGAAGATTACACTGTCCCTCCCATTTTAATATCATCCCCAACAGAATCTATTATATGTGGATAATTTAATCATCCTGCCCCATGTTGTTCCCAATACCCACAGGACACATTACAGAGCCTGTGGCCCTCTGTAAAAAGTGCCTATTCTCTGACTGGTCAATATCAAAACCTTCCCATCCTGTTGATGTAAGTTTCTCCTGTATATTATATAGATCTATAAACAATTGCCTAGTTACCTAGTGATGCAAAATGTCCTTAAGCTACTTTATATTGTCAATTAATATATTGAATATCATAAACCAACATGCAATATGTGACTTTTAAATTATTTACTCCATATATGTTTTCATTAAGGAAGAGCATTTTTATTAGCATATTTATGATACCATCTCAAAACTTAATATGGCTTAATTCTATTAATAAAAACTAATTTAAAAGTCATTATCTTTTTTAATTACAGCTTTTGATTTAGTTCTTTCCTGCTCTGCAAATAAGGTGGCAATAGCTGTTATTCTGTTGGTCCATAGCTAACAATATTCTTTTTACTGCTATCATAAATTACTTGGTGGGGAAGTTGTTTAAAACCAACAGCCACAGAGCTCCTGATGTGACCCCATACTTGGCCACAGCTCAGTTTGTCATCTGCTCTGTGCAGATATTTAGCCTCAAGTAAAGCTATCAGGTAATTCTGTGTTATGATCACAATCTTCAGCTCATGTTAAAAGCAATTCAAAGTAGAAAGTCAGCAGCCTCACCTACAGTGCCCCAGGTGATCTCAGCAGCCTCTTCCTTGGGCCTGATACTAGGCTCATTACTATTCCTGGTCCTTTTAGGTCCCAGAGAATATGAGATGCCTTCTATTGATATGAAGTTCCTAGTTGCTCAGTTTCTCAACTGTGTGTTCATCATTCAGGTTCTGTAGATTCAAGGCTGCCCGGTCTGGAACACCAGAGGCCATCAGTTTCTTGACCTTGGCATTGACAGGAAGGCGAATATAACAGTAGAGGTTTGCCTGAAAAGAAAGCATAATAGGAAATACAGGAGGTCTGTGGCTCACCCCCAAAAGAGCATGCCCAGACCTTGGTGGTTAATCAGCATGTTGCCATAGTCACAAAATATTTTCCATTACAGGAAAAGGCAGCTTGTTTTAAGAGTTAAGCCAGAGGATGTCAATTATAGAAAAACTGAACTTTGATCCAGCTCTAGTTTCCAGCTAGGGAAGGTGTTGAGTCAGAAAAGAAAAGAAGAAACAAAACAAAATGCAGTGGCCAGAGGTGAGCCAATTATGCAGCTCCAAGGAAATAGCTGAGTGTTTTCCTCACACTGTTGCATATGGAAAGTTCGAAGAAATCAGCTTGTGGCACTGCTCAAGCTCCTTTCAAGAACAAACCTCAAACTGGTCTGTACCTTAAAGGAAGTTGGTCCAAGCAATGATAGAGCAGGAAGGGCAAGTGACCTTGAGCAGTCAAATCATTTCTAATTCATCATATGCTTATTCATTTTAAAATTAAGGTTCTTTTATTTGCTTCTATGCTCTTTGCTAAGAGAACTGCACATAGTTTAAATGATATTGGAGTTTGACTCTGACTTGGATGAGTGTTCAGGTAGCAGATGAAGGCAAAGAGGGCATATCACATGTACATATATAACCCTAAAATTGTTGACTGGAACTGAGAAGGCTCATGAAAACACCACACTATTCAAATACATTCACTCAAAGGTACATTGCTAAAGAGCTTTTCTGTATCTTTATATCACTCACTATACAACTCCATAACGATTTGCATCATATTTATTTTCTTTGCCCTTCTCCCTTCCCTAGAATATGAGCTCTACCAGGTCAGAAAGAGAAGATTCCAAATTCATTTCCATATTCCCAATGGCTTGCACATTGCTCTGCATTGAGGATATGAATAGACCCCTCAGTGTTTGATTGAATGGAGAGATGAAAGAATGAAGAAATTAAAGAAGGAACACCAACCCAAGAGCATACAGTCGTTGCTGTCCTGTGTGCCTAGGTCTCTCAATTTAGATCTACCCTTCAGCATTTGAAAGAGACTTTCCAGGTGAAATCTCTTGAGTCCTAAATTTCCATTCACATCTGGCCTTTGTTCCTACTTTTAGCAAAAGATGACACCAAGGTCTTTTGAATGGTCACCTTGACTTTGCCATTGATTCATCGATTATGTCTCAATGGGAGTCCCTGTGTGTCAACCGCTCTCCATACACAAAGTGTGTTAGCTCTATAATGGCACTGACCTTGCCTTATTGACCACTGTAGCCCAAGGTCCCCCATATCATAGTCACCACCCAAAATATTTGTCAAGTGAGAAAAAGAATTAGAGATTTCCTCACCTACTGCCGTGCCATCCAGTCTTCCATACTGCTGTGATGAAAAGCTATACATTTACTGCATTAAGACTGAAAATGGTTCCCTAGTGCTCAGCAAAAGGAAACCCTGGAGTCTGAGAATATGTTAATAACATTGGGGTGGTCTCCCACCTCTGTCATTCTGTTCTTGGAATGCAGTGACAGCAATGGACCTGTCTTCTTCATGAGGATGTCCGAGGAAGAAAAGGCCTTTTCCCTAGTCCTGCACACACATCTGCTTGTGAACGTGCGCGCGCACACATGCACACAGACTATACCCACCTAAAGCAGCAATATTTCCACTTAGAAATAATTGATGACAAACTTACAAAGAGAAAGAATGCCCTTGGAACTCTGGATCCTGTAAAGGGAACATTAATAGTGCTGTAAATTTCGGGAAGAGAAATCACATTATTTTAATGAATGTTTCTCATAAAATAATGGAATAAAGATGTCCTCTTCATAATAGAAGTACAAGTTCTGACAAAAATTACCCCTTTTTTTCCACTTACCTTTAATCAAGCTACCTGGGGAAGATGAAAGAATAAAGAGAATGAGCTTGAACTTGAAAAGAGATAAGATTTATACCCAAGTAATTGGCCTGATCCATTCATCGTCGCTATTCCTTTTGCATTTGCTTTTAGTTAGGGTTTGGAAAAAGAAATTAAACTTAGTAAAACTATAATAATTATATCAAAAATGCATTCAGTCTCAGTTTTAAGGTTTTGAGACTTAAATTTAAACCTCTTAAGATTTATAAATATTTCCTCTCGGCACAGAGTGGATTCCTGTGTCCTAGGGAAAGAAATTGCCAAAAATAAAGAGCAAGGCTGATAGGTCTTCACTCATTACTAAGCAGACAACAATGTGAAAAGCTGACCGTGAAGATATTGGCCACGCAGCCGTTAAAATTCCTTTGACTTGCTTGATTCATTCAAGCTTAAATGCTAAAAAGAGGAAGACACTGACAGGCCATCCTCTGGGACACTCTGAATCCAGAATCCAGCTTTGTCAGTTATTTCAAGTGGATATAAATGCAGATTCTGACCAATCTTTTCCACCCCCAGAGGTCAAGAGAGCAGCTGAACTTCTAAAAATTCATCTCTAAGTTCCCGGTGAAACTTTTCATTGACCTTTAAAGCTGATGTGAAACTCCAAAGAACAAATTTAGCTTGTAGAGTTTTCCCACCCCACACTCCACCTGCCACACAGACACAACAGGACCACTTAGTTCACCTGGGATGTAATCAAAAGCCTTTGATATTCATTTCAGTTATTAAAAGGTAGCTCCCAAAATAATATTTCTGAGTTAAGATTTTTCTTATCAAGGGATATAGGTAATAAAAATAACATCTTACTCTACATTTGTATAATGCTTCTAAGTATTTCTTAAAAACAGAACTTTTTGAAGGCAAGGGCTGTCATAAACATTAACAGTTACAAAAATTGAGTCCCAGAGAGATTAAGTGGTTTTCCCAAAGCCTCATACCTTAAGCAAGCAACAGACAATATACTTAAACCCATCTTCTGACCTCCCAGAGATGATGCTCTTTCCACAGCATTGTGCCCTGTTAGCCTGGTTGACAAGATTTACTCAGCTTGCTTCAAGGATGTCGGTACATCCCAGCACATTAAATATATTGATGTATTGATAAATCCCTGAGTCTTGGGGATCTGGCATTTGTGTCAGATGGCTGCATTTGGCATCTCCAGATACCCTCAGTTCTGTTAATTCTGATCTGGCTAAAGCTGACTCTTCTGGACTTCAGGCCATTTCACTCAGTCCGAGGCAGGGAACTGGATCTTTTTTGGTCAACCAATAACAATGGCACTTATTTCATTTTCCATTTTATTTTGTTGACGAGGTGCCAGATACTCGAGCTAATTGATGCCTTAAGTTATTGGGCTCATTTATACCTCACGACTCATAGAGGTGGGCACTATAATCACTTCCATTTTACTAAGAAGAAAATCATCACTTAGGGAGTTTTGGGTGACCTGCTCCATTAGGGAACGTGATCAGGACAGGCATCTGTACAATTTGACTCCACAGCCCAAATTTTAAACCCTGTATGACAACAACCCAGGAATTCCACACCTTCCTGATCAACCTATAACTCCCCAGAAATGCCCCCAAACTCAACCACATTCTAAGCCATTACAGAGACGACTGTCCTACAAGCAGTAACCAACCCCCATTGGCTCAGGCTTGTCATGTTTGCCAGAATTGAAAAGAGCTGCCATTTCAGCATTTTAAAGCTATCACATTGTTTCTCTGTGGGTAATTGATTAAATAGGTAAGGATAGCCAAAGAACATTCTCTTCCATCATTGGGAACTAGTACAAAGGCTTTATGATTCCGGTTCTTTGGAGTCAACAGCCAAACACTTCAAAGATCTTCTTATAGTAACAGGGGAAGAAAGAAAGCAAATTACTGTCTGAGATCAGAAGAAGCAATTCAGGGCCCCTGTCTTCTATGCTCACAGATACTTTGAGTCCACTCTAATGAAATCATCCTTAGACCTTTGAAAATAGCGTGTGGTAAAGGGAACAGACCCCTGCTTAGGCCTTCCTTTTCAATAGGCTTCAGGTGCAGGTGTGTGGTCTGGGAAGGCACCTCACAGAGGCTCCATTCCCTCCTCCACTTCCCCCAGATAGCAACCTCACTTGTGGGTTAGGATTTTGTGGGTTTTGGAGTTGGGGGGAGGAGCAGGAAAGCTTATTTAAATAAGACCCCTTAAATGAACTACTCAGAGGGAAAGCAAGCCATGGTAGCTTCTGACCTCCACCATTCGCCATTCATTTGCAGTGCTGACTTCCTAGGCCGTTAAGAGCCTTAATTCGCAAGCTGACTGGAGGCTACAAAGCTCCCAGCCTCAAGAATTTCCTATTAAGTCTCTTAGTTAATGCCATCTATCTTGAAAGCATCCTTCCTATGTTGTGTGATCTAAGTCATCCTCCCCCGGGGAACCCTTCTGCTTCAGCAGAAGAAGCTTTCACCATTCTCCTGCGCGGATCTAGCGTCCCTGGGTGGAGTTTTCTTTCCACGGTGGCTCACACGGAGGCACACAGCTTCAAATGAGAAGCAGATGTGGACTATGATACTAAAATAGGAGTCAAGTTACATTTCTATTTTCCCCCACCAACACCACCTGATCTTTCAAAAAGTGGCTAACAGAGGCATGAAATGCTGCACAGGAGGACAATCATCTTTCGCCCAGAAGCTGACTGTCCCCCACCTTGTGTACAGTGGCAGCAACAGGAATACACTGACTGAGGCTCCTTGAGAACTGTCTAGTAGCCTTGGGTGGACAGGTTACTAAAAGATCTCTCAGAGGACTGACACTTCCCAAATCCACCTATCAGCAGTGGAGTCTCATTCTCTGCAAGTCACCAATCATTCCTGAGTCTAATCATGAAGCAGAGAATAATGGAAAAGTAAGCCTAAAGAGCATTTAGACTTCTCAGCTGAGAAGGATGATTGACTCCTATTACCTGTTATTAAGTGCTGTGGCCATAGCTGTTGCTAAGGCAGCAGGCCTTCACCCTGCCTGCACACGGGAATGGCCTGCCATGCTATATAAAGTAGGGACAAGGGCTCCACTGGATGGGTGAATGGGTCCTGGTGTAGCTCTAAGGGAT